TTCTGTCAGTTTGCTGAGAATGATGGTTTCCAGGCTCAGGATCCAAACTCATCGTTTTTGATGGCTGCATAATATTCCATGGTGTATATGTGCCACATTTTCCCTATCCAGTCTATTGTCGATGGGCATTTGGGTTGGTTCCAGGTCTTTGCTATTGTAAACAGTGCTTTCACATGGTATTATGTGTTGGCCGGGCACAGTGGCTCACGCCTGTAATCTCAGCACTTTGGGAGGCTAAGGCAGGTGGATCACTTGAGGCCAGGAGTTAGAGACCAGCCTGGCCAATATGGTGAAACCCTGTGTCTATTTCATGTAATTTCTGTCTCAATGCATGCTGAATAGACTTCTCTAATGAAGGGTCTTTTTCAATCAGCATTTTCACCACCATCCCGAAAGTTTCAGTCTTATTGGTAAACCTGTTCAATCTCTTTGGTTTTTGATGCTATTGCTTTAGAGAGACTGTTTAGCTGACTATCTTCAAATAATTCTATGCCATCTGCTGTGTTTGACTCAGGTTCCTCTGACTGGTCAGTAAATAATGGTGCTGTGGATCCTGCCTCACACTCAGAAATTTCAGGCAAGGTACTTTCATCTGATTTCTCTAGCTTTTCAGCAGCCCACTTGCTTGCAGCCTCAGCAAGTTCCTTTTCAGTTAGCCTGCTGGGTCTGTCTAACACCTTTGATGAAGAAGCTGCTGAAGCACTCGAGGGTGAAGTGTCTCTTGATGTTTTCAAAGACTGGATAGGCCTCACTTTGTTTCTATGTTGAGACTGATGGAAAGTATGGTTTGCTCCTTTCTGGAGAGTAGCTTCTGCTACTGACACTGGAGCCAGATCTGCTGTGTGGAGAATCCTTTCGGTCACCAGGTGATTCTCTGAAAAAACCATTGTCCCTTTTATGAGGAGAATACTCTCTCACATAATGGGAAGAGTAGAAACTTTTTCTTCTACAGCCATCCCTCATGTCCCTGTATTCAGGTTGCCTGCTTGCAGAATGATCATCTCTTGTCCATCTATAACCAGATTCATCTCCTCTATGAGGTGGACCACTTATTCAATCATGGGAAAAACTGCAGCCCTCGTCATAGTCTCGGTAATCAACATCTCTGTAATATCTATTGTAGCTTTCTTCATCCGACCTGTCTAGCAGTGGTGGTAGTATTAACTAGTCTATTGTAGCCATCGCTGGGATGACTTCAAGGAGATGCTCGTTCTCTTGGAAGTCTTTCATATTCATATCATCCCTCAGAACACATTTCATCTCTTCTGTAAGCCATGGAATTCCTCACACCAGGGTGCCTAGGAAAGGGAAAGCTGTTCACCAGAGGCATCTGACATGAGGAATTCTGCATCAAAGGCACACAAGGAAGGTGAAGCTGCCCGCCACAGTGCACTGTGGAACCTGGTGCCCAAGAAGGGGCCAGTGCTTGACTCTGGGGAGGTCATGTGCACTGAAGAAACTGGATGCCAGGAAGGGGAGCATGCTGCAGGAGCCCCAGGATGGAGTGGCTAAAATTGATTTTTAATTCATTTTAATTATTTAAACTGAGATAGGGTCTTGCTCTGTCACCTAGACTGAAGTGCAGTGGCACAGTCGTGACATACTACATCCTCAACCTCCTAGGCTCAGGAAATCCTCCTGCATCAGCCTATTGAGTAGCTGGGACCACAGGTGCACACCACTACACCCAGCTAATTTGTATTCTTTTGTAGAGACGGGGTTTTGCCATCTTGTCCCAGCTGGTCTTGAACTCCTGGGCTCAAGTAATCTGCCTGCCTCAGCCTTCCAAAGTGCTGGTTACAGATGTGAGCCACCATACCCAGCCTAATATTCTTCATTAATAATGACACACTGATGGTTGAAGTGTAAGATATGTAAGTAAGAGGATAAATCTTTTAAAAACATCGCTAATTCTCACTATAGTTCTGTAAGGAAAATTCTTTCATGTTAAAAATGAAAAAAGCTGAAACAGAAGGAGAAAATAACTTACCATATAATTTAGCAAATGGTAGAAGCAGACGAGAATCCATATGTCCTTTTTCACTATCATATGCTGCCTTTATTTGTACACTATATGTGTTTATAAATGTGTGTGTATGAGAGAGGAAAAGTGTATGCATGCAAGCTTATCAATCTTTCTATGTATATATAGATACATTTTTTTAAACCAAGGCTGACTGCAAACTTTTTGCTGCAGTTCTCAGAAACCAGTGCTGTGAGGTTGTTCACTCCACACTGGCTTCCCTAGAATGACTTGAAATTTTATAAGTTGCAATTTACACAATTGATACGTTCTTCTCTTGTATCATTTTTACAGGCGTAACAGAATTTATACCACTTTATTTTTCAAAGAAAGGATTTCCAGGGCTGACAGTTGCTTTAATTCTTACTGGCTGGTCTTTGAAGGCATAACATTATTTTCTTTAGCATTATTTTTTCCTTCCTGTAAGGAGCAACACCATGTTCATATTGTGTCCATTGAAGCAGTTTCTCATTTTTGAAATTTTTATGCTTTATGGGATGAAAAAAAAAAGAGGAGAGGAAAGACCCAGTAGTGATTTAAGACCATGATTCTAGATTGAAGCATCTTGCTACTTAGGGGAACACCATATTTCATAGTGTATTTGCAGAAATGCTTCATGGCACAAACTCCTATTTCATGTCCTTGAAGGCCAATGGAGTAACAGAATTTCTGTTTCAGTGCCTATCTGATCAATAATCTCATGACTTTTTCTAGTTGCCATCCGTCTTGTGGTACACTTTCACTGTGTTGATGTATCGTGGCTAATATCTACATATATATATATATTAGATATCTACATATATATATATATTAGATATTAGCCACGATACATCAACACAGTGAAAGTGTACCACAAGACGGATGGCAACTAGAAAAAGTTGCCAAAAATATATATATATATATATATATATATATATATATATATATATATTTGTCTCCTGCAACTGTAAATTATTTAAAAAATATTTCTACAGGTGCTTACATTTATTTATATAAAACATATTTTCTTTTATTTCATTGGAGATATATATAAATCATTTTCACTGGAAAAATACATTTGGAATTTAGTGTGATTCCCCTTGGGCATGGCCTTTGAGTAAACATAGATTAATAGAGCACCATCTATATGGCAGACAATATTCTAGGCACTGTTTCAAAAATGAGTAGGACATGGACCCTGCCATTCCAGAGCTCACAGTCTTCAAAACCCTATGGAAACAACATGAAATAGTGTATACATTTTATTACCAATATACCTCAGTTTGAATCTTCTTTTTACCACTTGTTGGATGTTAGACATTCTATTTCTCAATGATATCATCTGTAAAATCGAGGTAATAATAAATATTATCTTAAGGCTTATGTGAGGATTAAGTGAGTTACTAAATATAAGGCATTCATAGTGACACCAGGCACATAGCACATACATCCCAATAAATTCTGGATATTATAATTATTATTAACATTAGTACTATTATTGTGATGTCAGAAGTAAGCAGCTAAAGAATATAATACTATATAATGAGTATAAAATAGAAATGTGTTCAAGAGGATAAAATACAAAACTTCTTTGTAAGTTGTCCTAGGAGAGATAAAACAAATACGTTGTTGAAGAAGACAGTATTTTCACCAGGCTTATGAGAAAAGTTATAACATTTTTGGCAGCAGAAATAGCATTTGAAGAGTTAGGAAGGCTTAAGAGAGCATGTTCCACTAAGCAAACTACAACTGAGGCCATGTGTATAATTGGGGAGTGAAGTGTAGGGCAAAGGGTAAGGTCACAAAAAGGTCTGGGTGATATACTAATAATTTGAGACTTTATCATGTTGACATTGGAAGCCCTGAAAGGCATTTTTTAAAATGGAATTGATATAATCAGATTTATATTATAGACAGATGATGCTATCTCCATTATGGAGGATGGGTCAGAAAACTAGCTGGAGGAAGGTAAGACTTAAGAATAGAAGGCTTTTCTGATTGGTCATATGAGAGCTGATCAGGTTGTCAAATAAGACACGGTCAATAGAAATGGAAAAGTTGGGATGTGCTTAAGACATATTTGAGAAGCTGAACTGGAGGATCATTTGGATAAAGGGAAAACAGAGGAAGAAGGTCATCTAAAATGATGCTAAAGTTGATGTTCAGTTGGGTGGATGACAGCACTATTGACAGGAATAAAGCACAGATTTGAAGGGCAGGCCAGAGGCAGGAGGGTGTTTGGCTGGGAATTAAATTCTGGAAAATCATTGCTTCACGGGCTAGTGGAAAAAGAAGGAACACAGAAGAAGACATGTCAGAAATGTGAAAGTAAGAGAAGAACCAAGTGTTACAGGTTCTAAGAAAGAAATAATGTTAAAAATATTTATTAGAGAGACGGAGCAAGGTGGCTCAGTAGAAGCCTATATCAATTGTCCCCTGCAACAGGAACATCAAATTGAACAACTATCTACACACAAAAAAAGCACCTTCAAAACAACCAAAAATCAGGTGAGTAACCATAGTACCCGAATTTAACATCACATTAAAGACAGAGGCAATGAGGAGTGTAGGAAAGACAGTCTTGAATCACCTACAACACCCCTCCTGCATTCTCCAGCAGAGGCCATGTAGTGCAGAGAAAGAATCTGTGCTTTCGGGGGAGGGACAGCACAGTGACTGTGGGACTTTGCACTGGAACTTAGTGCTGCCCTATCACAGAGAAAGCAGCATGGAGCAAAACTCAGATGTTAAACATGAAGGGACCACTTAGACCAGCTCTAGCCAGAGATGAATTGTCTATCCCAGTAGTTAGAACCTGAGTTCCAGCAAGCCTTGCCACTGTGAGCTACAGTACTCTAGGGTTCTAAATAAACTTGAAGGGCAGTCTAGGCCACAAAACTGCAATTTCAAGGTAAGTCCTGGTGCTGTGCTGGCCTCAGAACTGGTGGACATGGTGTGCATGCAACCCAGTGAGACACCAGCTGGGATAGCCAAGGGAGTGCTTACAGCAGCATCACCCCCTCCCCCAAACTCAGGCAGTGAACTCAGGGGGAGGCTCCCTCTTTCTGTTTGAAGAGAGGAAAGGGGATAGTAAAGAGGACTTTGTCTTGCAACTTGCTGCCAGGTCAGCCACAGTAGAACAGGGCACCAGAAGAATACTGAGGTCCCCATTCTAGGCTCTAGCTCCTGGACATCTCTAAACACACACCGAGCCAGAATGGAACACACTGGCTGGAAGAGAGGGATCTAAAAATCTAGTCCTGGCAGCATTCATCACCTGCTGATAACGAACCCTCAGATACTGAATAATCAGCAGGGATAGCCAGGCAGTACTCACTGTGGGCCTTAAGTAACATTCAGAGCTATGCTGGTTTCAGGTGTGACTCAGCATATTTCTGACTGTGGTAGCTAAGGGAAGAGGCTCCTTCTACTTGAGGAAAAATGAGGGAAGAGAAAAAGGAGTTTGTATTGCAGCCTTGGTACTGGCTCATCCACAGTGGGGTAGAACACAAAATGAGCTCTTGGGGTCCCTGATTCCAGGACTTGGCTTCTGGATGGCATTTCTGAACCTGCCCTGGGCCAGTGGGGAGCCCATTTCACTGAAGGAGGTGACCAAGGCCTGGTAGTATTCACCACAAGCGGACAGATATCTAGGGCCTGAGGGAACATTGGTGGTAGCCAGGCAGTACTTGTTAAGAACCAGGGGTGATGATCAGTATGAGAAGAGACCTCTGCTTGAGAAAATGGAAGAGTGAGAAGGACTTCATGTTGCTGCTTGAGTATCAATTCAGCTACAGTATAATAAGGCACCAAAAAGATTCCTAATGTTTCCAATGCCAGGCCCTGGCTCCTGGATGGCATCTCTGGGCGCGCACAGGGATAGGGGGAACTCACCACCCTGAAGGGAAAGAAACCAGCCTGTGTAGATTTGTTACCTGCTGAATGTGGAGCCCTTGAGCCTTGAGTTAACATAAGCAGTAACCAAGCAATGGCCACTGTAGGGCTTTTGCTTGTGTCACCACTCTCCCAACTCCAGGCAGCTCAGAACAGAGACGTTGTTTAGGGAAAGTAAGAAAAGAAAACAACAGTCTCTGTCTGATAATCTTGAGAATTCTCTTAGATCTTACCCAAGACCACCAAGGCGGCACCTCTGTGAGTCTATAACAGCTAAAATATTACCAGAATGGTGGTGTGCTCTAATGCAGATATAGCTGCAGTGACAAGAGACAGATTATAACAGCCAAGTCCCTTTGAATGCCTGGAAAGCCTTCCCC